ATATAGAAGATTACAATATTCTGTAACAAATAATGTTAAACAGAAGTACAAGAAGCCAGGGGAGCTTTAGTGATTTCATGGATGTAGAGGGAAGGATAAGCAACAATCCAGTTTTATCTGCTCTAGACGTAAACTAATTAAGAATTTAGACAAGGATGGTCGACAGATTTCTTGGTGAGAAGGACTCATAAGAACCTGTAAGGACCAGCCAGCTTCACCGGCATCTCCTCCAGCTGGGCTCTGATGTCAGATTCTTGGTACTAGTTCTCTGCTCCCTTAGTCTTTTCTCAAACTCAGTGAGCTCCAGCACTTTGGATGACCTTGTGTATGGGGGCAGTGGAGGGGAGTCACTACTATCTGGCATCTCCTTGGCCCAAAACCAGAGCTCAGACTGGATATGAGACACTAGCCCCCAGCCAGGTGGCAATAAACCAGCCTACTCCTTTCCCTGCTCCTTTCCTACTCATCATGCCCTCAGAACACTCTGAAGGCCGTTGAACCACTTTTCTTGGCAATTTAAGTGTTTTGTTTTTATTTTTGTTTTGTAAGAACAAAATTGTTTTCAATCAGCTGCTTCAGATGACTTCATCCACAGCTAGCTTTGGTTTATTAGTTTTCTTTCAGAAAACATTGCTCTGAAAGATTCAGACACAATAAGGTAAAAACAAGTTCTCCTCAAGGGCCATAAACTGCCTCTCTGGGGTGCAGATGTAAGTCTGACGTTCCTCTGAAAGGCGGCTTTGATAATTCTTTTCTTCCTTCCTTCTTCCTTCCACCTGTACCTGTGCTTGCTGTAATTTTAGCTCATTTCCTACAGCTTTGTCCTGGAGACCATTAGTAAGTCCCTCCTTATCCTTCTTCCCTCCACATGAAGCCACCTTCAACCTTTTACCAGACCAGTTTCCCATTTCAGTAATGACTTTTGTGATTCATGCCTGGATTTTTGTCCCATCCATAGCCTTTTAAACTTAACATTAAGGCCAAAATCTTTAACCTCTTCAAGTCTTAAAACTTCTTGAATATTTGTGGGGCAATGAAGAGAACATGGGAACCTGCGTCTACCACATCTACAGGGACACTCATGTAAAGAGACCCATGCTACAAAAACTCCATTACCACTGGTATCTGATCCTAAAGAGGGGACCCCAAGCTTTACTTAAGATTGGGATAGGGGAGGCTGGGTTGGTAACCATCACTTTGTGAATAAAGCACCCCAACACACACACAATCTGATCATGGCATTTAATGTTTAAAAAGGAGCTCTGGTAGTGTAGTGCCTAAGGCACTTGACTGCTAACCAGAAGGCTGGTGGTTCAAACCCACCAGCCACTCCTC